GTTGAAGTCATTTAAAGACCATTTAAAGTTAGCGATGCAATACAAAGAATTCTCCCTTGTCTACGCTGCAGCCTTAATTCTTATCCAGAAAAAGAAACTCGTCTTCAAATCAGGCTACGGAAATGAATTATGTAATAAGGAAGCATTATGGATTTCGAAAGTGTGATCTATCAAATTAGAGTGAAGAATCATCCAGTAAACATTAGACAATCTGTTCTTTGTCTTTTTTATGTGTCGTGTGGCAGAAGCATAGATCGAGTTCGATAGAAACAAAACTTATCGAACATGTGTTTAATCCTTAAGCGAACTGGGTGTAATTAGAAAGTACACGAAGGAGAGCGCAGCTACTCAAATGGCTAACACACGGCTTCAATTCCCTTATCACGTCCTTGAAATGTTACAATCTGCGGTAAAAGTGGAATTGTAAATATTTCTGGACAGTCAGAAAAATGAATAATTTTGATCTCGCCCAGATTGCTTCTCAAATCGATGATGGTCGTCATATTTGCTGGTTGTTACAATTTCCTATCAAATGATTGCCTGGATATAATATCGACGTTTTTAATGTGAGAGTAGACACGATTTCTAAGACTAGAGAGGATGAAGGAAACTAATAAATACACTAAAGGAAGTGAATGATCTGTCGCGTCGAAAATCCTAAGCACGTAACGCTTTGAATTTGCAGATTTGTTTGCACCGCACCAATAGATAAGTTTGAAAGCTTCGTGAAACCAATCTATCCCTCTCAGAAACTATTAAGGCGCGACGAGTTGAGCGGGGCGTGTATTGGGGTCTACTAAAGTACAACTAGTGCGTAAGATCGAGCGCGCCAGCAAATGTGGCCCAAATAGCGGTATAGTTAGCCCAAGTAACACTTTGGTTAACAAAAATACCCTCCTAATCCTTTGCTATCAGCTTAACATTTGCTAAAGTTACATTTTCTAAGGCGCATAGCGCGCTTGCGATCGTGAACGAAATAGATGCGAAACATCAAGGGCGTTCTGTCTCTGCTGACACTAGCATCATTTTTTTAAGTGAAACAACTGTCAACTCTGCCGATTATTAACTATTAGTAGCTGCTAGATGCAGTTACAGCGAGTTGAATACTTGAATGTGCAAGAAATAATAACAATGTATGAAAACGATACCTTGCGAAGTCGTTTAGAGTGTGATCAACAGGTTATCGTTTCCGAAGTGGAGGAGATGACGGCGGAATAGGCAATGCTCTGAAATCTGTAGAGCAAACCTAATATAATTCAAATTGGTCAGCGTCACGCACCATGACTAATGCATGACCTATTTCATTCAATGTTATGATTCTTTATGGCCAGCCACCCACGGATTTAATCCATGAACTAAAAATTGGAGTTAATTTCCGCAGTAATTTTTAATGGATGTATTGCCCTTGTGCATTTGCGTCAAGCATTACGTAAGGTGCCATTCATTCCTTTAGTCAATAACATCAAAGATGTCGAAGAAAATGGAAGTTTGACGCGAGAGCTAAAGAGAATATTTAGAAAACGACCATTGTCTAAAACAAGATGTGGGGGGGGGGGGAGTTCACCGTTCAACTGTCAAGATCAAAACGCTTGCTCTCTGAACTAATATCAAGAAATCTCTTTGTTGTTTGTCCTAAGGAGTTGTTTAGAATTTTATTATTGATCATTTGTTGGAACCAAAGGGTTAAAGTACTGCAGACACTCTCTGCAGTTTGGACACATGTTTTGGAGTTCATTCACGCCTATCATGTGAGTTTTTAGCAATATCGAGACTGCCGTATGACAATTCAGGTCTTTATTCAGTGGATAGAGAGAGAGGGTTACAGAAAATGCTTAGTTCCACGTGTAACTGTACTGTCGCCAAGGTTATGTAACTCTCAGCGTACGAGTAAATTTTCAGTTATGCCTGAGATCCTGGTATTACCAAAGAACGTGCCAATTATTGTATGTCCGTCATAACGGGTTTTGTTTTCCGTAACGTTTTAATTTATTGTTGGGCTCAATTAATGTTTTTTTTTTTATTCTGCAATGCGGGAAGTCATCGGGATTTTACCGAAAGGCAAGTGCAGGCGGTTTCATAATGTTATTCATGCAAGCCTAGCCTGTGAGACACGCGGAAAGCATGCGCCCCGAAAAAATTTGCAAGACACGAACATTCTTTCGCGTGCGATGTCAACATTTGGCAGCTGCGCTGGATAGAACGAAATAGTGATAGCCTATCGTATTTCCTTTTTATTTTATCTGGCAGCTTAAGGTTCAAAAACTAAGTTAAGGTGATTGTCTGGCAGATTTCNAAAAATTATACTTAGAATAAGACAAAAAACTTTTATTAATTTTGAATTGCACACTGAATGGTTATAATCGGTTCGAAAGTCCCGGAGAAATGTCGTCCGCATCGATGGCTATAAATAGTTTGGCTCAATGTTTCATGCTTTAAATACAGCACCAAATCATACAAACAAGATTCCGTTGGCTTAAAAAATATAGTGGAGAAAATAACGAATTAATAAGGCTGGTATACACAGTACAAGGAGAAATCGGGAGATTAACAACGTAGTGATGTTTTTCTACAAAAAGGAACCTTCTTCAGAGGTCATGTTTAGATGGCCGTTTTTGTCAGATGATCAGAAAGGTAACCTTTAGGGGGGCCTCCTGCGGATATAAGTGACATGAAATTTGCTGCTGTTTTCTCCCTCAGTTTCTTCCAAGAGTGTGTGCATACACCAACCTTATTTAACAAAAATCTCCTGTCATTCATCGCAACCATATATATTAGATGATACCACACATTAACAAACAGCAAGTCTTAAGTCAATTGGCGTCAGGTGTATGCGAAGGAGCCATCTTAATTAAGGAATAGAGCTCCGATTAACATCAACAGCAACAGGCACTTAGTCATTTTGACACCAGCTGCTGAATCATCGACCGTCGGAGTTTCTGTGGCAGGTGAGACATCGAAGCTCGCATACACAGTGCGTGTGTTAAGGGCCTGGGTCGGGCGGTAGCTCAACCCAATGTAGACAGTGTCGTTCATCATCAAACTGC